GATGTTGTGTTCCTGCTGGGGAGCCCTGTATCTTTTGTAAACAAAGACAGTTCTTGGGTTTTAGCAGCTGTTTCAAATGCAGTTCACTTGTGTACCTATGATCACTGCAGTACTCCAGGAAAATTCTAAATCCTACCATATTCGCAGCTAGAGAACAGCAGTCTGTCTTTGCTTGTGATGTGCAACTTGGTAAGGGGGAGCTGCTACCAGTGTCCCCAGTCAAGTGACCCACCTTTAGCACTGTGGTGAGGAGGTACAGCACAGTATCCACTTCAGCATGCATCTTCTGCAAAGCTACAGGAGATCCCAACATCCCTACTGCACCATCAGAAATAAGATGTTTGCAATAACTCCACGGCCCATGCCCTAGGATCATTGGGGAAATCTGGATATTTGATGGCACAAGCAGAGCCAAATTCTGCTGGCAGTCTGGCCTCCTGTGCTTGCATCAGGGAGGGGAAAGGAACAGAAGGCAGAGCACACCATTTGGGAAGGGTATTTAAATATTAACCAATTACAAGAGCACTGGCAGTGCTTTGATCAGCACACATGAGGACACACTGTACAGCAGGCAGAGTCTCATTTAATCTGAATTATGGAGTCAACATGCTTTTAATTACATCTTTAGCCAGGTACTTAGAGTTTTTTGTCATATCAACTGTGACCCAAGATTGTGAGTTATTTTTATACCAAGTTTTTACCAACATTTACACATTTCCACTTTTCCCTGTCACTTCGCTGCCTTTGATTTTATTATAATTCCAGAATGAATCAGGGAATAAAGAGGGGAAAGGTTGTTTGCTCTTTATTTTAAAACAGGTATCACCTCTTCTTTAGCATTTGAAATGCAAATGCTTCCACATTTTGCTAGCAGATGAGACTTGGGATGAGACTGGGTCAATCTATCTACACTGCTCAAACAGATAAACCCAGGAGCTAAGCCCACTCATAGGCTAATGTCACCCCCATCTATAAGAAGGGCTTAAAGGAGGATCCAGGAAATTATAGGCCCATCAGTCTTACTTCAATGCCTGGGAAGGTTATGGAACAAACCCTCCTGGGGGCTGTCACAAGCCAGATGAAGCACGACTGGGAAAAGCCAGCACAGACTCACCCAGGGCAAATCGTGCTCGACAAACCTGATCGCCTTCTACAGCAAAGTGACCAGCTTGGCTGATGTGGGGTGAGCTCCCCACAGCCTCCTCCTAGAGAAGCTGGTGCGTGGCCACCAAGACAAGGGGTCTGGGCGGTGGGGGGGAACTGGTTTCCAGGCTGCACCCAGGGCGTGGGGAGAAACCGCTCCTTTTCAAACTGGCCACCTGCCCCAAGTGGGGTCCCCTAGGTATCAGTATTGGGCCCAACACTGTTTAGTATCTTTGTTAAGTGATCTGGATGACGGGATCAAGTGTATGCTGATGAATTTTCCTGAAAATACCAAATGGAGTGGGGAAGTCGACACTGCGGAACGGACAGCCACCCTGCAGGGAGACCTGGGTGGGCTGGGAGAGTGGGCTAATCAGAACCTTATGAAGCTCACCAACAACCAGGGTAAGGTCTTGCACCTGGGAAAACATAATTCAGGAACGCAGCACGGGCTGGGATCGACCCGGCTGGGGAGCAGCTCAGCGGAACGGGGCCTGTGAGTCCTGGGGGACGCCAAGCTCCGTGTGAGTGACCAGTGTGCTGCTGCGGCAAAGGAAGCCAACGGGTTGCGGGGCTGCATCAACAAGGGCATCGCCAGCAGCGAGGAAGAAGTCATTATCCCACTCTGCTCAGCGCTTGCCAGGCCACACCTGCAGTATCGTGTTCAGTTTTGGTCCCCGCTACACAACAAAGGTGGGGACAGGCTGGACAGGGCCTGGAGGAGGAGCACAAGGAGGAGCACAAGGATGGTCAAAGGACTGGGAAGCCTGCCATGAGGAAAGGCTGAGAGAACTGGGTTAGTTCAGCCTTGGGAAGAGAAGCGTTAGGGGAGACCTTATCTCCGTGTTCCAGTATTTAAAGGGTGGCTACAAAGAAGATGGAAACTCCCTTTTTACAGGGAGTCACGCGGAAAAGTCAAGGGCGAATGGGTACAAGTTACTCCTGGGGAGATTCCGATTGGACACAAGGGGAAAATTTTTCACCATGAGAACAATCAGCCACTGGAATAATCTCCCCAGGGAAGTGGTGGATCCCTCAACATTGGACACTTTTAAGATTCAGCAGGACAGGGTTGTGGGCCATCTTGTCTACAGCGTGTTTTTGCCAGAAAGGTTGCACCGGATAATCCTTGAAGTCCCTTCCGACCTGGTATTCCGTGATTCTCTGATATTAGGTATCTCCCCAGTGTTGACATGGGTTCACAAATAACTACAGAAAGGCAGGAAATTCTGTTAAGTTTTATGGCAAACTGTATAATCTAGTGTCAGTAAGAAGCTCAATAACTTGTTGTCATTTCAGATTATTTATATTGCCACGATCTGTGATAGTGTCTGCATACCTACTTCAGAAATTTGTAGCTTCCTTACTGCCCACTAAGGGACACAAATCCACAAGAAATAGCTCAAAGCTAACAGCAATGAAAAATGCTCAGGTAAAAGCTTTTTCTGTGGCTTTCTAAGGCACAGACATTGGGAAAGTACTGGAAAATAAAACACAGCCTGACCAACAGGGGTTTTGTGAAAGAGGACAGTAATGAAGATCGCACACAAACCTAGGAAACCAGTGACCTAACATCAGCTTCACAATTGTTTGCTCAGGGCATTACATCCCCTCTTTCTGCCCCACTGTTCCCTCTCTATAATGTGTGGAGAAGGAGAGCAGCGCACTGCAACACCTCCAGGATACAGCAGGGATAATATTAAAGGCTATGAGGTGAACAGATCACGAAAATAAAAAGCAGGTGAGTGATTGCTGAGTTAACCCTGTTCATGGGCTATTTGTAGAACCCCTAACACTAAATCAGCTTTGTTTTATTGAAACAGGAATGTAGGATATTTCCAAAAGTCTCTTGCAGGAGCCACTAGCTGACACTGTCACTGGGACATGGATGGCATAACGTCCTTGAGTGAAACTGTACTCTATAGAAGTCAACATACATTTGCTCATGACTCTTTCTCCATGCAGAAACCCATGCAAGAAATAACTTCCAGCATGCTGTCTGGGGTTTTTGGCTAGAGAATGTAAGCACAACAGTCTCTGCCTTCAGAGGGTCCTTCCATCTTTCTGGTGCCTTCTCACACCAGCCCATTCAGATATACCCACTTTCCTTCATTGCTTAATAGCTGCAAGCCCACCAGCATCCTGCTGAGCAGTATGGGCAACACCTATGCTACGATGTTTATTCTCTTCAGCCTCTCCCCAGGAATTATTCCAGCCAAAGACGTCAAACCACTATGCAAAATAGAATTTAAAAGCTTCCCTCTGTGAAGAGGATATTATCATCCTTATCACTGACAAAGGGAAACCTGATTCACAGAGCTGCATTTTTAATAGAAGATACATATTTATATAATATTCATATTTTGCACCAAGCAATGATAGGAGTTCAGGAGAGCCAGACAGAGGTCTCTAACTTTTGGTCACCAAACACGTTTGAATCCAGCACAAAGGAACAGGAGCCTGCAGGCTTGTGAATTTTGTTTTAAATCACAAGTATTGTTTCAGCAAACGTGGGCTGACCCCACTGTGGAACGAGGAAGATGAGCTACCTAATGAACTGCACTCAGCCCTGGCTCTGGTGCTCACTTTAAATCATATATCAGACAAGTATGGTCACAAAGCTCACCTTCACAAAGCCTCTGATACAACAAGATGTCTGACAAATGGCTTTGGTCGGTTATTGATCACGACCATTATTCCTGGACTGAAGGAACAGCAAAGTGCATGACCTTCCCCTGACCCTCTCTTGGAGCAGCACATCTTCCAGTCCTCAAACTAAACTGCAATACTTCCTCCCTGCTCCTGCCTCCAGCATGTGCTTTGAGGATGAGGATCCTTAACAAAATAAAAAAGAAAAATATTCAGTATTAATCTGTACTTTGGAAAACATTTTTCTTTCTCTAGAAACTTAAAGAGCAAAGGTGTAGCACTGAAGGGCTTTTACCAATCAGCAGCATTAACTCTTTTCTCTCTTCCTGTGCTGCCAAGAGCCAGAAATAAATCTTGATCTTTATAGATCTATGTAATCTAGATCACCTGGATGGGCTAAGAAGAAACTGCATGCAAAATGAGGTGCCAAAGTCTAAGAGCTTGCAAATCACTAAGATTAGTCAGGTTGTTAATTCCACATCAAATTTCCACAGACACTGGGGACATTCCAGCTAGGCTTCAAACTTGGCAGCTTGATCTCTACAATGGCCCAAACCCAAAACTCATATGCAAAAAATACCAAATCCTTGGCTGACCCCTGGGGTTTGAACATCAAGAGACCAGTGTGTCCCCTGAATCCAGACACTCACTTAAACAGCTAGATCTAAAAAAAAAAAAAAAAAAAATCCACAAAACCAAAACAATAACAAAAACACCACCACCAAAAAAAAAAAAAATCCAAGATCTTTTAATTGCCTTTTGTTTGAGGTTCCCCTTTCTCCATGCCGCACAATAACACCAAATGCATTAGTGAACGCTTCGATGTCCATCTCCAGCTCTAAAGCATTTATAGTGGCATCAGAGGGTTCCTGATGGGTTTTCAAGATGATACAGCAGTAAGTGTTGGCTGCACAGGGCCGAGTCAGTACAATTACAGGGAGCTCACTTAACTCCTGGGTCTGGATTCAGAATCATCTCAGTTAATGATTTTTCACCAGCCTATCTCCCATCCTATGGCTCTATAGCCTTACAGAAATAGCCCACTGCAAGGAAAGTACAGGATAGGAAATGTGTGAAGTGGGACAATGTACTGTGTAATGTTATCACTTCATCCTCTCTTTTCCAGCTACATCCTCCCACAGTGCTAAAACCAACATGTCTTCCCCTTTCGCATCCAGGTGGAGACAAACAAGTCATTAGTGTCTTACCCTGATAAGACGCCCAGCACCAAGTTGAGCATGAAGAAAGAGCCAATGATGATGAGAGGGATGAAGTAAAGCCAGTTCCAGGTATTTCCTGCAGCATCGTTTGTCTGGAAACAGAAAATCAAATATTAATTCACCTCAGAAACAAAATACCACACAGAAACTGCAAGACAGAGGGCAGGGGAAATTCCCCTTAGATCTCCATAGGGCTCTCCACCACTGATGTACTGGTTAGTTCTGCTAAAATGCCAGCAAAAGAATTGATGAACAAAGCTGATTGTCCCACCGTCCACACCACAATTTGTCCTCAGCTCCAGTGAGAAGATTCATCCAATTCCACAGCTCCAAGCTGACCCTGCTGCAGGGCCAAAACATACTTTGAAGTGACCTGCCTCTGTGCAGGCTTTCTGCACCTCCCTCTTTCCTCCCCACCTCAACTCTGACTTCCCATGTGCTAAGCATCAGTGTGGTATTTACATCTGAATTGAGAACACAAGAACAGGAGGGAAGTGCAGGCTTCCGTTCATCTCTGCTGCAATTAGAGCAGAGCATGGCACCCTGCCCAGAATCTGTGCATGCACACAGAGCAGAAGACAAGAAGTCTGCAAGAAAACGGAGCATCTTCACAGTGATTGCAATTCCACATCTGCTTACTCAGCACTTACTTCTGTCATCAAAACCAGTCTGAGGCTCCCTGAGTAAGCAGCAGTCTAGATTAAGGGGAGGAAGGGTGGTTTAGTTTATGACAAAGTTTCTGCATTCATCAACCACAAGGGAGCTCTTTAAGGAACTGCTGAAAAGTAAAATGCCACATGGCCATTTACTGAAGCCAAGTGCCGAGAAAAACACAAATTCTTCTCTTGTGAGTGAAGAATGAAGCAATTTGAGAATCTGATGCTGTGTGTAAGGGAGGGGAAAAGGGAAGTAAAAAGAAAAGAAAAGACGAGAAGACATTTTCCTCCTGCAGAGGGGAAGGAAGAGCACAAACACAGAGCTCACCTACCTGCCCAACCGCAGAGGCTGGCAGAGACCTCAGAGAGAGTTCTCAAACACCAACTTGCAAAAAAATTCATTAATTCTAACTGCTATTGGTGCCTTTTACTTATTATCTGTGATGCTTTGTGGTCACTATTCCCAAACACATTTGCAAGTGTGATTTTGCTTGCAGGAGGATTCACAGAAAGAAGTGCTTTAAATGTGCTTTATTTCAGCCATGCATGCACTTGATGCCAGCTTGAAGCATCTCTGCATAAGTAGAAGTCACCCAATAAACAATCAAAACCAATATGTGACGTGGGTGACCGATGTCTTAGCATTTCTTACAGGTAATAACATTTATGGTACTGATGCAAGTAAATACATTCTGAGACATTTTTAATATAGTGAATATCTGTACAAATTCCTCCTCATGTAACACGCTCCAGATTAAGCACATGACAAGCATTTCTTCAAGTAGCAAACATCTTCAGAAATACCTGTGTCAGTTGATCAGTGAGTCACCAGAGAGGAACAGGGACTAACTAACCTCGCCACAGACCCCCCTTGCTAAAGACAAAACCAGCAAATGAATCTGAAAAGAGAAGAGGTTGGGAAAACGAGAGCAAAAACGACAGGGAGAACTCTGCAGCCCAGCCTCTCGTTATATATCTCCCATTCAGCAAGGCTGGAACTGCCTCAGGCAGGCAAGGGGGGCCGGAGAGCCAACCCACAAGGAAGAGCTGGAGGAAGGGAACAGATGGGAGAAGGGAAACCACATAAACATGCAAAGAGAGTGCAGCAGGTTCATTGCTGCCAAATGATCGTTTATCATTTATTTATTCATTTGAAGCCCAAACTTGGCGACAGATCCACAATTCCATGCCACGATCAAAGCCCTTAAAAATGAAATGTGCTGAAATATGACTAATTAACCAGCCTCCTCTGAGCATTTGCTAGACTACCTTATGCTCAGGGCAGGGCAGGGACTCGCTCTGTTTGCTCTGCCTCACACACAGGGATCCAGGACAAACTAGAGGGCAAAACATCAGGCAAAACGGTTGACAAAAAACCTCCCCCGAGAAACTAGAGCCTTCACAGACAAGCAGCATCTTTCCCAGTGCTCCTAAGCGTGCTTGAACCAATTCACAGTTTATGGCACCAGCTCTGCCACGGTGAGATGCTTTAATGAATCAAACCTGTTTGCTTCCAGGAATATTGAACTCCTCCAGGGAATGTCCCCAGAGTCCCGCAGGCATCTCTGGTTGTGCTGAGCAGAGAAGGCAGCCCTCCACCCGCAGAGCCACTGGGGGTTGGGCTGTGGCCCAGCTCCAGGCTTGCTCATTAAGCAAGATGAGCCAAGCGATCGAATCAATTTTTATGTTCCAGCTAAAACATCTCACTAGTGTAACACCTGGCTGACTGTCGGTGCTACTTGATCCTAACCACAGGTCTAACTCGACAGGGAAGAAGGAGAAACAAAATACTTGTCACAATGGGCCAGAATTATATCTAAATACAGTAAAGGCTTACAGGAGGGCTCCCTCATTTCTCAGGAACCAGGGAACCCACCAGTTAGTAACAGGCACAGGGATCTTCACAAGCACCCCCTGAACAGCACCCACATCCAGCTGAAGGCTCATCCACGAGTGCCCCAGGCATCAGCACGAACAGCCCGTGTCCCTTAAACTTGACAGCACAAGTCCCCCACAGGCAAGTGCTGCACAGCAGGAAACTGAGGCACAGAAAGTCTAAGGGACGTTTTTGGGGTCACAGTGGAGACAGGCACTTAAAGCCCGTATGAACTGCTGAGCCCCTGGAGTGCTCCTCCCGACAAGCTGCCACGGCTCCCTCTGCCTAACCTCTGCTCAGCTCCAAGCTGTTTCCACCCCCTGACCTGACACTTGTATGGAAGATGCACCCACCACGCCTATTCACAGCTGATGCCTTCTTCTCCCTTCTCTTTTTTTTTTTTTTTTTTTTTATTTGCTAATAGTCTAACCTAAATCCCCAACAGCATCCTCTTCCACATGACTGTGCTTGATCATCCACCCTGGAGCCTGATGCCACTGCTCAGCAGGAGCGCCCTGGTCACAGCTGAATGCCAAAGGACAACCTTCATGTGTTGACTCGCTGTACAGTTGGCTTTAAGCACCTAGGGGCTCTCTCCTCCCTTTCATGCAGCACCAAGCACGTTGCCAGCATCCCCAAGCCGTGACAGCACGGCCACTTCTCTATAGAGGTAGGTGGGTGAACACTGTCATCTGTAACAAATGCAGAAGCTAAAAGGCTTCTGTCATGCAGGGAGATTAATGCCCTGAGCTCCCAATACAGCCAAAGAGAACAGAGTGTACTCCAGCAAAGCACAAGATACTTCCCACAACCAAGCCTTTTGTGACTTGTCCAACACTAGAGAAAGGCCAGTATTAACACTCACTTTTGTGTCTCAGACACAGAGAGCTGTTAGGCCACTGTTTCATTATGTTAACAAGATGGCAGCTGCGTCTAATTAATACATTTAAAGATACCTTTTGAAACAGCTGACTTGAAAGCAGCCTACTGCTGCTTGCAATGTGCTGCAGAGACCAGAAATGCATTCATATTACCTTTCATCTTCCTTTCTGCAGCCCGGGCCACGGCCCGCGTTCCTGGGGCGTGCGGGGAGGCAGAGCCCTTGGGCCTGGCTGCCCTGAGATGAGTTTCTTGCGCGGCTGGAGCTTCTCACTGCTGCAAGACCAGAGGTGGCTCTGCTCCAGCCAGCCCCATCCCACCACCATGAAAGGGTCTGCAAAGCCCTCCCTGCTCCGACATCCTTCTCCCAACCTATCCCCATCCCGGCGGCACAAGGCCGGCTCTCCAGGGACTCTGCCTACTTTCAGCTCGGTGCTCCCCGCAGCCGGGGCATCACCGGGGAGCCTCGCAGCCCGCCAGCCTCACGGCCGAATCCCACATGCTGCCGACTTCAAACAGGCCTGATCAAAGGGAGCAGGAGCATGTAAATACTCCGCAGTATTTTCTCTCCAGCAAGGCTTCTGTCAGCACTGGGGTTACTGGGAAAACTATGACAGCCCCTGCAGAAAAAAGACCCAGCAGCCCCCAAGGAAGGGAAGCCTGTGCAGTTTCTACCAGGGTTGCTTAATCATGGTTTGCCATCAGTGATGAGATCCTGATCCTGGAATTCCAAAATAACAAACACACAGTTAAGTGAAATTTGGTTTACACACAGCCTTGCAAACAGGCAAGCGACTGCCTCTGTTCAACACCCGGAAAATCTTAGGCTTCAGATTTACAGATTGAAAATTAGAGCAAGTCAAACACAGAATAATCCCCAAGATCCTGCCCCTCTCTTTTCTCTAAGCAGCCAGCACACCTGCCCACAACCTCCCACTCTCCCCTGGCTTCTGTAACACAACCTAAATCTGCATTTCATGTGGTGAGAGGGATAGGGGATTCTCACGTACCTAGGCATGTGTACCACCGACCAGCAGCCAAGCTGGCATACTAGGGCCATGCCCCACGGGTGAATCTGAGACCTGATGGATTTGCAATCCAAAACTGACAGCTTCTCCTAGCTGGTGAAAAGAGAAGACCTACCACCACGCTGCACTGCCCAAGAACCCCATTCAGCGCATGCCAACGACCAAGCAAGCCAGGCAGTGATAGCACATGTTTAAATAACTTATTCAAAGAACCTACTAAACACTGCTGAACCTGATTAAATCCTCTTGGGCGACACAAAAGCAGCAGAACAACAAAGACCTTTGCCATAGGAAAATGCCTGGTGGCATGTGGCAGGGGCTGGATGCCCTGACTGGAGACTGTTGTGCTGCAATGAACCTAAACAAAAAAATTTCACATTTCAGCTCCTGATTTCCAGGTTTCTGATCAAAACACCATCATTCGCTCTGCCCTTCTCCCCAGATCATCACTATCTCCACTTGGAGTCCCTTTATACCTGTACTGAAAGGGAGAGCTCAGGGATGTGCACATGCAAGGCTACACCAGGTCAACTCTATCACTACAGACTCACATGTGAACACACTGACTTTATGGTAGGCCTATAATTAATATAAATTATACAGACTTCCTGAAGACATTGACTTGCACTCAGGAAGCCACTGCACAGGGCAGG